CAATAAAAACAACACAGACAACATTATAAACTTAACAGCTTAAATTAATTTAAGTAATACCATCACGATGGCTACATTACTTGCAAAAGAGCCCTTATTCTTTTGTCAACGTGCTTTTCTTGCATCTTCACATGAAACAAACCGCTTACGTTGGAAAACAGACGCAAGTAAACTAAAGCAGGATCAGTAAACAAGACATTTTAGTCAGTCACTGAAAAATTCAGAGTAAATTCGTTTGCAAATAAAAACTTCTCGGGATGATGCATTTAGTGTGGGCCATTAGGCATCTTTACTTCCCACCCACATTATTCAATTTTGTAGACTGTTGCAATTATGATCTGCACAGCAACCGCAACTCCACTCAAACATCATTTGTCGTCTTCTACCACACACACACACATCCAGATGGGCAGCTGCGATCTGTACACCTGCATGTGAGTTTGCTGCCACTTGTGTGGTCTTTGCTTGAGGCAGTGATTAACCTCGTAGATGAAGGCAGTGTTTTTGGCAGGTTTGATGTGCTATGAAGTGGTCTGACCGGAGAGTGTATCTCTTGCCAACAATCACACATTAATCATTGTACAATCAGTAAAAGGCCAAGACACACAAAGAAAATTAATTTACTGTACATGTAATGCAAAAAATAGAAGCATCGTGGCCCCAGGCGTAGTCGTCTACTTCCTCAGAAACCTCAGACAGGATTACTCAGAAATTATCAGTGCACTTTGAACAGCTCTCAAAAGGGTCGAAACACTTCTGAAAGCCTGCTGCTCCGGTTATTACTGCACTATCAGCCCTAATAGAGTAATAGCTCTGATGGTGTAGTGTTGATACAGATGGGTCACGAGTCCAAGTGTGGTTCAATGTTTGTCTTTGCTCATTTCTAACTACTAAATCAGTTACAGATAAACCCTGCCCTTCTACCAAACAGGCCTTTTCAGCTGGCAAAATGAGTTTGCCCATTTCCACTGTCGTATCCGCACTCCATTAAGTAACTGTAAACCACACTCATTAGCGACATACAAAGGAAATGCTGCAGGAGCGAGAGGTTGCTCTGCTTGACTCAAGTTTCTTCACATCTGTTGTCTTTATCACTGCCGTCTGATCCCCTGACTTGTTCGTACACAACAGCTGCACGAAACTCGACAGGCTACCTGACAAGGGTGCGTCCCAAATGACACATTCAATAAAATGAATCAACACTGCAGCCCTGCAGGCTCTGCAATTCTGCAGAGCAATTATTTTAAGCAAGGTCCGGTGTAAACATGTGTCAGAGGGTGTAGTACCGCAGACAGGTTCAAATTTTTATTGCCATTCCATACAGTTCAACTGCAGCAGTGTTGAGCAACAACAAATAAGTGAAACAGAAATATGAGATGATACAGGAAGAAAAGGAGGTTCTGTTGCGTAACATGTTATGCCATGTGGAAAATATGCGGACGAGGTATGTTGATAGATAAAAAAAAGCCTGTATGTGCCTGAAAAAGAAGTTCAGGCAAATATGTTAATGCAGCAGGATTAATATTGTCAAGAGCAACCAAATAACCAAAGTGCAACACTCAGTTCTCTTGTATTTACTTTGAACTTGCAGCAGCAGTGTTTGTGGGTCTGATGCTGCGGCGCTGCAGAGTGGAGGAGAAAGACCAGTCCTACTTTGAAAGGCTGCAGGCAGCTGAGCTTCTGAAAAGGAAGCGACATCCAACTGCTGCTGTGACATCTGGCAGATGAGGCAGAGGAGACGCACTCTGAAGCAACGCTGCTGCTGTGCTCATCAGCCAGGAGAGAAAGCTCAACATACCGGCAGCTCTGTTTCGACTCCATACGAGAACTCAGCGGTAAGTAGAGCTTGTTGAAGCCAGATTAGATCGAAATGAAACTTTTGCTTTTGTGATGCTTTCACTTTTCTTAACGACTGACAGAGCCTCTGACTGTAATGCTACATGCCGGTGTTCAGGTTGTACATTTTAAAGCGTGCGTCATGGATGTGTGTCAGTCTAAAGGTGGAGAGCGACAGAAACAGTCAGTATAAATGTAAATGAATAGATAACAGAATACAGAAAGCTTTTATTGCCAAGTGAGCTCACGTACACAAGGAATTTGACACGGTGAAAGAAACTGTGGTACACAACAACAACAAGACAGGCAATAAATATAGAAATCTGAAATAAATTCTAAATAAAATATAACACTCATTTATTTCCCACAACGCAAAGACTCTTCAGTGCAAAGTGCATTAGAGCAAGATAAGCAAACGGATAAACAAATTTGCAGGGCAGTAAATGGGATTCTGTTTTTATTGGATGCATTACAGACGATCAATGCCAGTGAGATGAAAGCGTCTTTAAATTACTTTCACATTTATTGTTGAAACTGACACACAATGGGGTGTGTGTGCAGGTATATCAATTACTTATTACCTAATGTGGAGAACCGCTAGTTTCCTTCAGTGCAGCAGCGTTTTATCAGATAGTCATCTATGTAGAGCTTTAGAGAAACTTACCAGAACAATGCAACTGCTGTTTTCTGCCCCTTGTTTGCAGTTCCTGCTCAACCTGCACTGCATTCTGTTCTCAAGGATGTAATTAACAGCTATTTTGTTGATTCAAGCGTGACAGTGGCTTTCTTCTCGTCATCTGCTCTCTTCTTTTAGGTGTCGTTAAATGACAGTTTAGTTTGGATTATCTGTTGACTCTCCATAAAAACCTTATGCACAATATAACGGTGACTCAGATCATGTTTCGGCCATCTAGTGTGAATTCTGAAACGGTTTTAAACATAATTTGTTGCATGCATTGAATTATTATAAGACTTTTTCATGTCTTTTCAAAGATGTTGAAATCATTTAGTCAATATGAGGAAATGCAAAAAAGATCATCTGCACAAAACAACACCGTTTTGTAGATTTTGTGAAGAAAACTACAGGTGATGTAATGATTATTTCCACAGCTGTATACTGGGTTTCTCAAAAACTGTTCTGACTGCAACAACAGAAATGCTCTACTTACCTTTTCTTACTCAGACAAAAAGAACAGACTTTTGTCACATGACAGGAAAACCTGCTTCATGCTTATCTCCTTTCCTCCAGACTATGCAGTAAATATCTCTGAAACCATTTGTCACATCACGCTCAGCTCGGCCCCCTAGCTTACTTTTTGGTGGTTGAATTGCACACAGTGTGTTTCGTTTACACGGCTTTGCACACAGCGTCACCTGATTTCTCTCTTTCTCAGCAGCGACAGCAGCACACATGTGGCCACAAATGGATCAAGAGAATCTGACGAACGGCGTAGAGAACAACCAGACTGACTGTCCGTCCATCGACGACTTCAGGAACCAGGTTTACTCCACGTTCTACTCCCTCATCACCCTGCTGGGCCTGGTGGGCAACGGCTTCGCCCTGGTGGTGCTGATCAGGACGCACCGCCAGAGTTCGCCTTTCCATGTGTACATGCTGAACCTGGCCGTGTCCGATCTGCTGTGCGTCATGACGCTGCCGCTGCGAGTTCTCTACTACGTCAAAAAGGGCGAGTGGAACCAGGGGGACTTCCTGTGTCGCATCAGCTCCTACGCCCTCTACGTCAACCTCTACTGCAGCATTTACTTCATGGCCGCCATGTCGGTCACACGGTTCTTGGCCATTGTGTTTCCTGTGCAGAACCTGCGGCTGATGACCGAGAACCGAGCTCGCCTCGTGTGTTTGGGCATCTGGGTGTTCATCTGTTTCTCATCCTCCCCTTTCCTGATGTCAGGTCAGCTGAAAGACCCGGTCACCAATAAATTCAAATGCTTCGAGCCTCCACGGGCCGACGGCGTGAAAAGACTAGTCATGCTGAACTATTTGTCTCTGGTGTTTGGCTTTATATTGCCCTTCGTGGTCATCTTGGTCTGCTACGCCGGCATCATCCACACCCTGCTATCTCGCAAACATACCGCCCGGCGCAATGTGGGCACCGGTTCCAAAGCCATCCGAATGATCGTCATCGTCCTGCTGACCTTCCTGATCAGCTTCCTGCCTTACCACATTCAACGCACCGTCCACCTGAACTTCCTGTCTCGGACTGACACCACCTGCTCAGAGAAGATTGCCGTGCAGAAGTCGGTGGTGGTGACTCTGTGCCTTGCTGCTGCCAATTCCTGCTTTGACCCGCTGCTTTATTTTTTCTCCGGAGAGGGTTTCCGCAACCGCATGTCCTCCATGCGCAGGTCAAATATGAGCAATCACGCGGACCGGCTGAACCAGCTGAAGCCCATCACGTGTGCAGAATTTGTGGAAGGCCAACAGCTGAAGCCCAGTTAAAGTAGACCGAGCAGACAGGGATGTTTGGGAGCTCAGGATGCTCTAAATGACGGGAATGTTGGATGATGAGAGCCATAAAAAGAAGTTTTAACAGAAGTTACTGGTTTAAATTAAGAGTATTTAAACATTTTAGCTAAAAGTCTCAGGAGGAAGTTTTCATTCATGTTGATATTTATTATTGTATACTTTGCATGCCTGTGAAATATTTAGATCTGCATTAGAAGTACAAAATAAGATGGTTTATGGTGTTCCAGAAGTTACAATGTGATTACAAACAGAAGCTATAAATTATATCGATAACGTTTAATAATGGGCTGCAAGGTGGCTCAGTGGTTAGCATCATCGCCTCACAGCAAGAACGTTGTCGGTTCGCGTCCCGGTGAGGGCACCGGGATCTGTCTGCGTGGAGTTTGCATGTTCTCCCCGTGCAGCGCGGGTTCTCTCCGGGTTCTCCGGCTTCCTCCCACAAGGTCCAAAAATATGCCGAGGTTAACTGGTGATTCTAAATTGTCCGTAGGTGTGAATGTGAGTGTGCTTGGTTGTCTGTCTCTAAGTGTAGCCCTGTGATAGACTGGTTACCTGTCCAGGTGAACCTGCCTTCACCCTGAGTCAGCTGGGATAGACTCCAGCCCCCCATGACCCTCGTGAGGATTAAGCGGTGTATAGATAATGGATGGATGGATGGATGGATGGATGGAGGTTTAATAGAAGGCCATGCCAACCTGCTTAAAAAGGGCTAAACACTTTCTTCTATTGTGGTTATATATTTTTAGCTGTTTTTGTAAATATGTTCATGATGTAAAGGTTTTTTTTAAATTTATCACCAACTTTTTCTTATTAGTTAGTTATTATAATCCTGCCATTACATAACATTTTTTAATAAAATAACGATACACACTGGAAGCAAATATTGATATTTGAGAGTGTACCTGCAGAGGAATAGTTGACATTTTAGGGCATGTGCTTTTTTTTATTTTTTATTTTTTGCCAACTGTTAGGTAAGAAGACCAACACAGCGCTCGTGTTTGTACTGTATATATGGAACTGCAGCTGGTGCACAAAGTCAAAGGTCAACCTACCAGTACCCCTAAAGCTCTCTAATCAATGTGTGATATGTTGTTGGTTTATTCCGTATAATGTGAGGTTTGTGTCCTGCTGTTTAGAATGTGCAAGCTAACCAGAAAGGGTTGTAGTGTCCTATTTGAAGAATTAAAAACAAATAATCTAACTCGAAGCAAGAAGGAAATATTGTGAAACTATTTCTTTAAACACCTGAAAATGTGCTGCTGTATTCTTGTTGTGTGTTTTTCATGTTATGTGTAAAAGCTGCATTAATAAATGATCCAGTGTGTGTTGGTTTAAAATGCTCACGTGTCACGGAAATCAAGTTCACATTGAGTTCCTCACTCTGACCACTAGGGGTCACACCAGCACACATATTACAAGTTAGTCTCCAAGTGATTCAATGATCGTCATTATCGCTTCTGCTACTCCATCATCTATCTCTATTATTTTATTCTTAATCCGAGAACACAATGAGCTGCTGTTTATATTCCCGGCAAATGTGAACCAATTAGATTTGTGTTGAACTATAAGTCATAGGACTGTTTGTATGGCGCATAAACTTATTAACTGAAGTTATAAGGGCAAGAAAAGGCTAAGAGCACATCGTGGTCCCTCCGAAAGCCTTCCAGGTTAATTAGAGATATAAAACAACCCAGAGAGACTTGACTGCTGAGGCCAAGGCTGTTCATTAGAACATAGAAGGCCACTGTATTACCACTTCATAAACAGATAATATCAAGCACATGATCGTCTCCCTCCTCCGTCTGCACAAAAAGATGCTTGTTTCAGTCTGTAAAGCGGGGTTATCTTAGAGATGGGACTGTGTGGTAGGAGTATTAGTGTATCTCACAGCGAAGATACTCACTATATAGGAAGCACGGAAAGTCCCTGCTGAATTCCTTTTCATTTATTTCTAAAGGGTTTATGTGGATAACAATGTAGTGCTTTTAATTGGAGGCAATCATCAGTATGGCTCTACTTATCCAGCTTTATAACCCGTTAAGTGACTGGGCCTTAGCACTGATTAGTTATTGGGAAAGGTTAGGAATAAATCTTGTTTGCCTTTGGGGGGAAACTGACTCGGGTCTTGCAACATGTGTTAGCGTTCACTGTGTGAGATCAGAAACAGTTGACGGAGCTCTCCAGAGCTTTTGTTGCAGAGATACAACCCTGCAGTCAAATAAATACATTCTGTAGCGACGTGCGGCATCCAACAGAAGCGAGTACAATCACTTCTGTGTCAACATATTGATATGTTTTGTCCTCAACAACCAATACTTTTGAAAGACTGTATTGTTTTCACTTTTGGTGCATTCAGCTTCCACTTTGGGATCCATGTTTGTGATATGAAACCAAATTAAGAACACCTACGATTTCCAGTCAACCAAAACGTATGAACACGGTTATAAAATAAGTTACAAACACTTCTCAGTTTTGGACCTCTGGGTTGTGTCCCTCCGCATGTCTGCATTACTGCTCGGTATGGAAAAGAATAGCGGGAGGAATTTCAAAATCTGTGTGACTTCTTAAAGACAGAAAAGCATCAAAGAAAACTGCCAAACAACTAAATAAATCTGTGCAAACACAGTTGCAGGAAGCACAAAGTGAGTGACAGCAGCACTTATCACAGCTGCAGCGGTCGCCCATCTAAAGCAACACCCACAGAAAGTGCACCGCTTTTACAATCTAGGGCTGAAAAACAGACGGATGTGTGCTCCAGATTTGGCACAGGGGTTATCAGCGGGGATTGTAGCTTCTGTGGCAGCTCAGACTGTGTGAAGGACAATGCGTAATGTGAGCCTCTATAGACTCCAAGGAGAAATCTTTGCTTGCTCTTTGGGGCTAAGTTGCAAGATTTAACTTTGGTAAATGCATGAAAAGAAGCCTGACGAATGTTGGGAGAACATTCTTTGGACAGATGAGACCAAGATGAATTTGTTGGGTTCATTTGAAGAGATCATATGCAAAAATAGATAACTCCATTTTTGTAGATTTTCAGAAAATTACATTTTTTTGTTGTTTGCTTGAGATAATTATTAACCAAAGTGAAGTTGAGTGGATTTGATTCATGACAAAAATACAGATAACTTAAATTTTATTAATATCGTCTCAGGTAGATGATGAAAAAGTGGGTTTTCTGAAGGTTTGTGAAGACTAAGTGATCTGTTTTGGCTAATAAACTCTTCATATGAGGTCCAGCATGTTTGACCTGAACCCGGTCAGGACTACAGTGGATGTCCTAGTCCCAGCAGTGAAGCATGCACGTGTGATGATATGGAGCTGCACGAGTCTTGGCAAGATTCGCTTATAGACAGGAACCATGAATACCTGTGAATATACCAAAAACACTGGCTGAAAAGACAACTCCCAGTCTGCAGAAACTTGGCAGGAGAGAAATATTCCAGCACGACAATGAGCCAAAGCACACAGCCAAAATCATGTATGAGTTTCTAAAGAAGACGCAAGTGAAGACTACGACCCGGCCAAGGATGTCGCTTGGCCAGAACCCAACGGAACACCTTGAGGGTATTTTATAAAGAAAGGAACACAAAACCTTCAGCTAACAAAAAAAAAATCGATCTGAAGAATGGCAGAATGTCTCCTCAGATATGTGTGCAACGCTGAGATCCTCCATGCTGAGTCTGACAATGAAAGTAGATGTATGAAGTATTACAGAAATAAAACATAAACGCAAATGCTGCACTGTTTGACTTCATGCAATTCCTGTGAGGTGACTTGGAGGGAGACTCACTTCTGTTGGACTTTGAAAAGCTGGATTGGATTAGTTTTGATTGGCTTTATACGGAGGAATCGCACGAGTCGATGTCTCGTAAAGAACAGGTGTCGAGCATTTCTTTAGCCCCAAAGTCTTTGTAGTTGTGTGGGTTTCAATTACGGCCATTACTTCAATTAGGCCATTACATAAACTCCTTTTCATTAAAGTCATAAAATGAGCAAAAATGGGCACCTACTATTGAGCAGTAACCTTTGATTTTATACTAATTAGGGTCAATTTGCATCACCGTCAGTTCCTGTTTTTTAAAATGAGTTAATAATAGAGTTATTATCCACATGCCATCCAGAGGTTTGTGTCATTGTGGGTTTTTTTTACACACAACATTTTTCGTGCATAGAGGCGGGAAAATCTACAGCCTGAAAATGATAAGAGATGGGAATTTAAGAAAGCAGTTTCGAAACTGGGGGTTCATTTCTTCAAGCATGCCAGACGTTTTTGCTCATCTAATTTGTCTGTCAAATAAGGCAGCACAGATTCATTGTCTTTACTGCCTGCGGATTGATTGTGCTTACAAAGGTCCACTCGGAGCCAAGAAAAACCTGGCACACGCACAAAAAAAACAGCAGACAGCAAACGTAGCGCACTGTGTAGGAAATAGGGAGTGAATTCTGACCCAGCCTTCTAGTAAAGGTCCATCCCTTAAGACGCCGGATCTTACATTTTCCATAATAATGCCGTTTCAGAAACCTTCCCCGTCCGATGAACGGCCACGTCTCTCAAATCAGAAACTTGAAAAAGTCCCTCCAGACCACAGAGCTGTGTAAGTCAGACGTCTCTTTTGTAATAAAAAATGTCAAGACTGTTTTGTTAGCTGCATAAATCTGCATCTTTTGGCTTTTCTGACCCACATAGGCAGCATAAGTCAAGTCAGTTTTATTTATTTAGCATGTGGTAAAACAACAGACGTGCACCTAAAGTGCTTTCAAATTTACCTGAACAATGTAAATATTAGTGCTATGACACAGCAGTATTGTATAGTTTTACTGATTTAAAACTGAAGAAAGGGAGGCTACAACATCATAGAGAAAAAACCCATCAAATGATCCTTCAACAGACCCGTGATAGTCCATCCATCCATTGTCTATACACCACTTAATCCTCACTGGGGTCGCGGGGGGGCTGGAGCCCATCCCAGCTGACTTAGGGCGAAGGCAGGGACCCGTGATAGTAATAAAATAAAATATTAAAGTTGAAAACAAGCCAAGACAAAGAGCTCAAAGATGCTTAAAATATTAAAAGATCTGAGTGAAACTGTAAGGTCAAGTGACAACTCATCCGTTGTCGCTATAAAAAATACAGATTAAAGCAGCGTTTCAGCTGATACCGTCCAACAGACGCAATCCTCTCCAGAAAGGGAACATGGGAGGCATTTGGGAAAACAGCAGAAAATTGTCAATTTGAGTGGAGGAGAGATGGGAGGACAGCGAGCAGCCGGCAAATCAGAGCCGCCCGAAACCACGTAGGTACGAGCGCCTCGAATAAACCTCTGAGGACGCAGGATCGGCCGCA